TTCCCTCATGGCTAACGCCGTTCAATTAGCCGAGCTCTCTAGAGTCTTCCGTGCCTCCACAAGCAACACCATGGACACTGTACAGCCACAACACCTACTGAACTACAACCACATGCCTGTCTCAGGGCTCAATCTCAACCTTGGTGGTGCATTGGTCCAGCCTCCTACTGTTTCCCTCGAGGATGTTGTCGCGGTTAGTTCATCATTCAATGGCGAAAACGGGTTTGGGAATGTGGAGATGAGCCAATGCATGGACTTGGATGGATACTGGCCATCCTATTGATTAGTAATTGTCATTTTGAATTATGGTCTTCATATTGTTGGTTTGAGGAAGAAAGTTTCATTTACTGGTTGGTTGGTAATACTTTTTTGTTTGTTTCTATTATTGCATTTGTTTAGCTATTCAAGGAAAGTATAAGAACCAAAGACTAGTCAAACCAATTATCGTCTGGCTATGTAATTTATAGCAAATTCTTTTGCTTACAAAAATAAAAAGAAATGTTGTAACAATATCCCAACTTGTTTTCAATTTAGTTACCAAAATGTCTCCTGGTCCAGAATAAATTCTTACTTTTTTTTTTGGTTTTAACAAAATAGTGTAAATTAAAACTCTTTACAATTTAAATAAAATAAGTTTTGTTTAAAATGGTTCCTACAAGAAACACATAAGATTTCAGCGTAAACGCAAACAAACAATCGAGACCAAAATATTAGTAAAATCAATTAAAACGATAAGACGAGAGTAATATATAGCTTTTAAAGAGTAACAGAGCAAGTCCCAAATCTATCCACATGAATCACAAAATACACAAACCAAGCCTTTACTAGATTTACTCTAAAGATATGTCTAATCTTCTCTGTATAAAAAGACTGAGCTTTTATCCAAAAGGTATCTAAAAAAAGGGTGAAGAAACACTTCTGCACAGCTAGCTTCAACAAAAAAAAACACAAAAACCCCTTAGCCACCTCTAACATGGGCAGTTTAGACAACATGTCTGTTGCTGAGGTACAAAGAGACCGCATCAAAACCCGTCGTTACCTGTAAAGAGTACAGAGCAAGATCAAAGAACAGTAAACACAAGGCTTTATAAATTATAATCACTCCATAGTTTTAACGTAAGTTACTAGTCGCTGAATAGCTTCTACACTATATGAGTAGGTGTTGAAAACGTTTTGGATTTCACAAAAGGACTCTGCTATAGGATTCGGAAACCGGACACACTATCCACATTATATCAACATCAGACAGACTCAGTCTATGACAAGTTATGGCTCGGCCTATCGATGTATTCAGCGACCACAGATTCTTTGTTAATCGGCGACGAGTATCTAAGCAGAAAGCGAGACGTACCTCTAATATTTTCAGCACGAGGAAGTGACAACAGCACAAATCGTGTTACTTCACTTGTCAGAATGACCCCTTTTGGCCTTACGACGACTATGGTGATGAGTGTGTCTGGTAGGTTTCTTTGCCTTTGTGCTGCAATAAACAGATAACAAAAAGGTCATTTGGTGGCATCAAGCATGGAATATCTCCCACAACGAGAGAGATCAATATACTTGAAACTAATGCTACTATCTTGAACATAAAGAATTAGTTATAAAAGACTTGCCAGAAGAGAGAACAGAGGAATTTGTACGCTATGAAGATGGGTAACGCCAACAAAGCAGAGGCCTGCAGTGAACAGTTTTTCAATGTGTAAGTAAAGAGAGGAAACAACTGAGAAGCATGATGTCTTAGAATGAAAGACCAGAAATCGTACTGTAAACCAAACGAATTCTTTGGTGGCAAAAGGTTCGGTCAGCTCATGGCTCTTCAATTTTCTTTCGACATTGGCTTTAACCTTCACAGAAATACACAGTTATTATCTTGAAAGCCAAAATAATCCTCCAGAAATGGCACTATCCATATCTAGAGTGACTATATATTATATACAGCTCCTCCGATTCTGACCTGATGGTGATACATTGTTGCAGATTTTAGGAACTCTTTGTAGTAGTGAACAGCCTTCTTCGTGTAAGGCTTCATGGTAGCTCTCACCTTATCAACATGTGGTTTTGTTGCCGTGGCCACTTGATCAACGTATGGCTTGCTAAACATTTTAGCCCCCTGGAGAGGATTAATAAACGCATTAAGCGGACCTTGTCATCAGCCGATGGATCTGAAAGATAAGTATCCACGAAAAAATCATATGGATAAATAAACTACTCCACCTGGTAATAGGGATCTACATGTTCTTGAAACTTGATAATATGTGGAGTAACAGCACTTTTGGAAGCATGGTAAGTATCTTTCGCTTTGTTAGATAGTGTTTGTATGTGTGGCTCAACATGCGTTTTAACAGTATCTTTCATGGCTGGAATATATTTCTGCATAAAGAATTTCATAAGCGTAAACATAGAAGCCTCATATGCGTGCTAGATTACTTTGTCAGTTAGCTGCTTACAGTTTTAACATTAACCATGTGTGGTTCAGCCCACTTTTCAGCTTGAGCCTTGGCTTGCTTCGCCTGATACATAATCAAACTTAAGCATACGTTTGCTCAAATAGATACGTATCACCATACAACTGAATAAAACAGTACCTTTTGCGTTACTTTCTCCATAACCGGTTTTCCGTGGGAGTCCCAGTGTGTCCCAGCAACAGTCTGAGTCGAGAAAGTGCCCAAGTTAATAGAGGAATTCTCTTATGTTAAAAAGAATCTTAAAAGATAAAGCTTATTAATCTTACCTGAAAATTAATCCAGTGTACAGCAAGCCATGGGGGAAGCCACGCGCCATGAACCTGGTAAAAAAAAAAAAATTCAATTCTTAACCTTCTTCTCAATTTCAGCTTTCAAAATTTACTAACTCGTCTCGAACAATGAACTATATTATAATTAAATAGGAGAACTCAAGCACCCTGGAAACATGGTATGGAGAAGTTACCTCCAGCAGTTGCTGAGCCTTTGTGGTTGCTTCTTGCTTTGCCCGTAACATTTCTTCCTATAATTTTATTTCGATTAACGTCAAAAGTGATGGCAGAAACCGAAAGTCGAGGGGAACCAAACTCAATCCAAGAGTATCACCATACCTCAGAAATTTTAAGAGCACGCTCAAGTTTTCGTATCTTGTTCTTCTGCTCTTCATTTGTCTTGTGAAGCTGCAGGACACTCTTGTCAAAATTGGCATAAACAAAACGCACACATCTATCACGAAAATTGCATACAACTCCAAATATATAAATTCAGATCAAACACAAGTATGGAAGGGCTTTAATTCATATGGGAACCTCTAAAGGAAAGATCATAACAACACAACAAGCCTTATAGCAAACAATTTTAGAGTGGTAAAAGGTGACTTCAAATAGAACTTTAGGCTTAAACCTTAACAAAGTTCAGCTAAAGTTGGAAACAAACAAGATAAATAAGAGGAATCAAAACTTTGCACTACCAGCTTAGCCATTTAAATGATTAGAGAAAATGAACCAAGGGGTGTAAATAACATACTTCCTCCACTCTCGAGTTCAATTCGCTTAGCTTTTTCTCGGCTTCACTCCTCCGAGCTTCTGTGGATTCTTTCTCCTTGTTTTTTTGCTCCAGAAAGTTCTTAAGTACCTCAACCTGAATGCAGCATAACCAATCACACAAAAGAAACATTTAGACTGCCGTTTGCAAATTGTGGGTTCTGAAATAAAGTTCTCACCTGCTTCTCTAATTCAGCAGCTCTTGCTTGAGCGGTTCCCAACAATTCCGTGGAATCTGATGAACCTTTTTTCTGGAGACAGTATGAAAAAACATACAGGTCGAGGTGTAACCAAATATGTCTGAACAAGGAAGCAAATGAAGTGAGAACTATAAGATACCCTTAGTGATGAAACCTCAGTCTCCAAGGAAGCAACTTTGTCATGTTTCTCTTGAAGAAGTTTCTCCTTCTCTGCTACTAACTCTTCTCTCCCTTTAAGTTCTTTTGTTTTGTCATCAATTTGGGATTCTTCACCACCCAAAACAAAGATAATAAATCATCATCATTACACAACATCATAAAAAGACAGGACATGCTGCTACAAGATTCGGTCTAATACAATTCGCAGAAAAAAATTGAAGTGAAATCGAAATTGAAAAGAAAAAAACAAAACTAGTAACTGTTACGTTTTGTAAGGAGTAGAGGCGAATAAAACTAACCTAGGGCTAGAATCTTAGCATTAAGCTGATCAAACTCGATCTGAGATCCGACGGTGGTTTCGAGCTTCGGTTCTTCACCGTCGATTCCAGCATCGGCGAAAACACCGGTGGTGAAAACGAAGGCGATAAGTAACAAAGCCACGAGCTTCGCGGCCGCCATTTCTGATCAATATACAAAGACGATCGCAGGATTTTGAAACACAGATTTTGGTTTTGTTTTGATGATTAGAAATTGAGAAGAGCGTAAAGAGAAGGAAAGAGGAGGAAGGACAAGGTTTTTCCTTCTGATGATACAACATGAGATGTGGTTTCGTGCCTGACACGTGGCAATATTCTCTCATTAATTTAATATCAAAAGAATTAATACTTACCCCTAAAGGAGTCAAGACGGAAAGTTGGTCGATCAAAGAATTTTGTGCATTAAGTTCAATTTCCCACTTCTAGAGGATACAAATTATTTCATCTCTATCTTACTAAGTTCGCTTTGGTTTCGGTTGATTTGATGATATCTGAAAGAAAAAAAAAC